AACTAACTATGGTTAATAAGGCATCTCACAATTCCAATCTTCTTTCCAACTCATAAGAAACTTTGCAGCTAGTTAAATGGGAGCCACAGGTCCATTTCAGCCCATTTCCAAAAAGCTACATATGGTTGGGTTTGATTAGAACAGAACAGAATAGAATAGAATTCTTTATTGGCCAAGTGTGATTGGGCACACAAGGAATTTATCTTGGTGCAAATGCTCTCAGTGTACATAAAAGATACCTTCATCAAGAGTCAAGAATCATCAGGTACAACACTTAATAACAGTCATAGGGTACATTAACCAATCAAATCATTCTAGGAAACTGTCAATATAAATTGTAAGGATACAAGCGACAAAGTCACAGTCATTACAGTCATATGTCACAAGTGGAAGGGCATGGGTGATAAGGAGTGATGAGAAGATTAACAGTAATAATAGTGCAGACTTTGTAAATAGTTGAACAGTGTTGAGGGAATTATTTGTTTAGCAGAATGATGGCTTTCGGGGGAAAACTGACCTTGTGTCTAGTTGTTCTGGTATGCAGTGCTCTATAGTGTCGTTTTGAGGGAAGGAATTGAAACAGTTGATGTCCAGGATATGGGGAGTCTATAAATATTTTCACAGCCCTCTTTTTGACTCGTGCAGTATACAGGTCCTCCATGGAAGGCAGGTTGGTAGCAATTTTTTTTTCTGCAGTCCTAATTATCCTCTGAAGTCTGTGCCTGTCCTGTTGGGTTGCAGAACCAAACCAGACAGTTAGAGGTGCAGATGACAGACTCAAGGATTCCTCTGTAGAACTGAATCAGCACCTCTTTGGGCAGGATTAGTATTACGATGGGAGACCACTAGGAGATACCAGAATTGTAGGCTAGACTGTGTAGTTTTTTTTAATTCCAAAAAAAAATTCCTGGAATATTTTTCTACATTGTTGCTATAAAAAAGAAAAAAGAAACTACTTAGGTGTGTTCATGAAGTCACCAGGAGATGTATATGATAGGAAGAGTCTTTACCATTTTTACCATTATAGAAAGTTGGTGCTTAATATTGAGTTGCTTAGCAACTGTTCAAAGTTACAATGGATCTCCTCCTCAGAATTATACCAGATCTCCTTGGAGCCACAGATATCATCCTATTTTGGGCACTTGGCAACCTGCTCACGCTTAAGGCAGTTTGCAGCATCCCACAGTCAAGTGACCACAGTTTTTGGCACTTTCTTTTGCCAGATTTCTGCATTTGCGCCCAATTTTAGGCAAAAATGCCCATTGAGGAAAATGGGTTGCCTTAAGGATTGCAGAATTCACGTAACAATTGCTACAAAAGAAGGCCATACAATCAGAGACAGTCATGCAGTGACCTGCAACGATCATTCACGTCTTAACAACTGTAATTTCTGGCTCCTTTATGATCGTAAATCAAGGATTACCTGTATATGTTTGCAAAGCAGTCAGCAATTCTTGTTTGATCGATAAATTTCAATCCTCAAATTTCATCTAAATTTTGTTAGGGCTGGCTTAGGACCAAACAGATTCTAAGAGATAAGCTGATAATTTGAAGTTGACCTTGTTTCTGTTCTCACCTGGAGAACTGACTTCCTACAGTTCCAGCTCTGATGATATTATCCATTGTCGTGTCTAACTCTTGACAACTCTATGGACCAAGTCTCTCCACATCTTCTGATCTTGCGTTACTTCCTTGAGTTTTTCTATGCTCTGGCTGGCGTCCAGCCACAATGTTCTCAGGAGGCCTGGTTACTTTTTACCACTAGCTTTTCCAAACATAATTGCTTTGTCCAGTGAATTCCACAGCATGACACGGCCAAAGAGATCGATCAGTTTTGTGATTTTTGCTTTCCACGTTTGGTGTTATGCGCTCCAGTACTTGCTTATGGTCACATTGGCTGTCTGTTGAGGTAATTCCCCGTTAGGAGAATGAGCGCATACAGGGAGACGTATTTGAGAGGAGTGTTTGAATAATACACACAGAGCACACAGATACACTGTACAGTAAAGGTAGGTTTTTACTTCCAGAAAGGTTTAAGCAAAGTCCAAAATAAGCAATCCAAAAGTCATTCACAGGTAAAATCAGTCAGTTTTCATCCAGGGATAATCCAAATATCAAATTCCAGTGTCAAAAACAGTTCAGTATCAGACTTACATTAAATCTAGTAATATCAGTCAATTAGAAGAAATGGAGCAACGGCAATACTTTCCAACAGAAGGAAACAGAGATACTCACTCAGACACACTCTCTTCTGAGACTAAGACTAAGACAAACCAGGTTTCTGGCTCCATCTTATGACCGTTTGAGAAACCACACCCAATTGCTGTTTTTAGCATGCTCTTAAAGAGACAGTATTAAAATGTATATCCTGGTTTATATATTTCTAACCCAAATACCTGTTAGGTGACTTATATTCCTAATACTGTCCAAGGAATATACAAGAGCTTTCTCCAGCTGAAGCAAATATATTTTCTTCCTGTCTTGCTTTCTTAAGGTCCAACTTTCACAACCATAGGTAGTTCTAGCAGACATAATTAGCTGGGCCCCAAAGAATGTCTAGTATCTAGTTTAATGAAAAGAAGGACTAGGGGGTGACCTGATAGCAGTGCTCCAGTATTTGAGGGGCTGCCACAAAGAAGAGGGAGACAAGCTATTCTCAAAAGCATCTGAAGGCAGGACAAGAAACAATGGATGAAAATTCATCAAGTAGAAAAGCAACCTAGAACTAAGGAAGAATGTCCTGACAGTTGGAACAATTAATCAGTGGAACATCTTGCCTTCAGAAGTTGTGGGTGCTCCAATGTTTGAGGTTTTTGAGAAGAGATAGGAGAAGCATTTGTCTGAAATGGTATAAGGTCCCCTGCCTGAGCAGGGGGTTGGACTAGAGGACCTCCAAGGTCCCTTCCAACTTTGTCATTCTGACTGAACAATGGAATTTAAGTTTATGCTTATTCTGTATTGGCAGTATGAAGGTTCTTGAACTGTGACTCATTTAAAAGTGGGTCACAGAACAAAATACAGACAGGAAATCACATTGTTCTGCAATGTATTTTTAGTCCATCACTGTAATAATCCCTGAAAGATCTGCTAAATTCCCACGTGGTGGTGCATTTTCAATCCAAATTTACATTAGCTGAACAGACGTTCCTTTTCTCCTGCGCTTCTAAGATGGAAGGATGTGTGTCTGAATTTCAAAAATCTTAAATTTACAGAAATGGGATCAAATAAACAATTCCCATAATAAGGCGAATGCATTTCAGCAGTGCATTTGGCACAGGTCTTTTTTTTTTTTTTTTTAAACTAAACCTTGACAAGCACATCGAGATGATCAACATGAAGGGTTTTCAATGTGGGTGAAAAAGGAGATAAACTGCAGGAAGTAGAAATCGTGAGTTATCAGGAGAGATCTCAATGAACTTTTTTGCCAACAAGGACTATAAAAGAAAATCACCAAGCCTCTAACAGATCGAACAAGATCCATGGGTTATTTTGCTTTTCTCAATATGTTAATCTCTAGTTGTTTTAAGACTTCAACTCCAAACTTCCTAACTAATTTTTTTTTTTAGCGTTCCATTTCCCGAGTCTGTGGAAATTGCCAAGATGGATAAATCTTGAGTTATTTTCAACTACTCAATGGTCAAAAGAAGCTTATTATTTCCATACCACTTGTACAGCTCTTCAAAACTCTTGAAACTAAGTGAGGTGAAGTTCACTGGCCTTGAAACACAAAGCACATTCTCAGACAATCAAAACACATTCTGGTTGGCCAGTAGTTCGATTATGTGGCATCAGGATGGTGTCAACTTTTTATGACCACACAAATAGATTTTCTCCACGATTATCTGTTCCTATTCTGATCCTTCAGATTTTCAAACAAGTGTGTCCATTATCACTTTTACTGAATCCATCCCTCTTGCTGCCAGTCCTTCTCTTCCTTTCTCCCATCATTCTCAGCATTATGGACATCTCAAGGAGTCAAGTGTTTACAAGAATTGATTTGTGCCATCTAGTCACTGTCAACTCTTATAACCACATAGATTTTGTTTGTTTGTTTATTAAACTTTTATGTCATCCATCTCCCCACAAGGTGAGTCTAGATAGGTCTTCTCCAAGAGAATCTGTCTCCGGCCTGGTTGGTCTATAAAATTAGGTCTTGGCATAATGTGTCCAAAATTGATAATTCATACTTCATTTCTAGAGGAAGCATGATGAACTAAGAACATCTGCATGGGAATGGAGATGACAACCATGGTAGACAAACGAACCTGCAAGCAGGCCGATATACGCCCCAGATGGTTGTTCCTTGTGAAGAGACTTTAGGACAGCAGGACACTGGGAGGCAAAGGGGTCAGCTACCTTGCTCACAAATGTAGCAGAGCCACTTAAAGAACATTGGGTTTGCTAAGCTCACTTTGTAATCACTTTTGGAAATTACATGTTTAATCATATTAAAGATCTTCATAAAACTAGTTTGAAAAGCCATGTGGTGAGTTTAATTTCATTCTTGAACAAAAAAAAATTAACTATAAATTTAAGAATCTAAAGAATGGAAATAATCATAATAAAATTAAATAGGACTTTGATCCCTGGAAGTTATAAACAAATTAAGAGTCCAGACAAATTTACTAAGATTTTTTACTGTATGTTTTGAAAATAATTATGTGAAATAAACAGTTTTTTTGGAAGAACCAAATTGATTATTGATCTTAAGCTTAATAGAGATTAGAGGCTTTATGATTTCAGAAATTCAACACCAGAGGGGAACTAAAGAATCCAGGCAGAAAAAATTGGAAAATATTTTTAAAAAGTGTAACTTGTAAAAGTGAAGATTTATAAAATAACATAAAATGTTATAATATTGGAAATATTCCAGGAGATTTTCAAAAAATAGGGACAGAAATTAGTAGGCACAATGTCAAAAATGGAGTCTGCTTCTCTGGATAGATTATACCCCAAAAATGGCTTTCAATATTCTTCTGCTCCTTACCGTTGTTTTTTTTCATTTCTACACAAAAAGTAGGCTTCCAATCACCAATAAACATAGCTAGATTTCTCTAATCAAAAGAGGTTGATTTGTCCATTTCAGCAAAATTTGACAACTTCACCAACCATAGTGGCTAATGTTGAACCTTTCCATATCTGTGCATATAATCATCTCACTGAAAGAAGCTAAATCAGCTCTTTAAAAAAGCAAACATTATTTGATCAGGTAAATCCAAAGCTAATTTGAAATGGCAAAATCCTTGTTTGGAAGTGCTACTAGAGGTATTCCTGGATGTTGAAGAACCACTTGTGTAGACAGCGATGAACAGAACAAGGGTAGCATTTATTCCACCGTAGTTTCAATTACAAAACCAAGGAATGTTCCACACAACTATGGGCCCAGTTTCTTTCACTCTCCAATATGCTCTTCATTTAAATCATTACTGATAGATTCTCTTCGAAGATACTATTTTGATTTATTCAGCACCTTCTGTTCAAGTTCCAGGTATCTTTTAAGCAAAGGTTGGTAGATCTAAAAGAGAAAGAAAATACTATGAGCTAACAATAGCTATTAATATTTTGTCGGATTCCATTCTCATAACCGGATACATATTGTTGGGGCCAATAGGCTGACTCTGTAAACCACTTAGAGGGGGCTGTAAAAGGACTATGAAGCGGTATATAAATCTAAGTGCTGTTGCTATTGCTATTGCTATTACTGATACTGTTTATAAAATTTTGAAATATTGTTTGACCTTTTCAACAAGAAGCTGTAGTAATGTCCTGGATACACACAACAGGAATTGTCCTACCAACTCATCCTTTCTTGTGATAATATAAAGTCCAAAGAAGAAATCATAAAGAGCACAACAGCTCAGAATTTATTCCCTCTGCAATATTTATCCTAAATTTCACAGATGGAACTACTTAAAACAAAAGTATTTCATTTGTCAAACAAAAAAGCTAGTGTCAGACCTATGAAGATAGTGCAAAAAAGGTTCTGTAGTGCAAAAAAGTTCAACCTGCGATGCAGTACAGGTACAGAGGCTGACATATAAAATGATCTACTAAACCAAAGTTTCAGTTTCGGAAAAGAGAGGAAGATGCATTTTTGTTCATAAACAGTTGGCCGTTTGGGAATACAAGTTCTCTCCGCAATCCATCCATCATAACTGAAGATACAGCTTGAATTCTGGCCTGAGAAAACTATTAAAGAGCCAGAATGTATTCCCATTTTCAGCCATCCGTACAGGATAAAGGAAAAATTAGATTCTTTTCCCCCTTGTAAAAAATTTAACATTTGGGAGAAAATGATATTATGCAGTTTGATGTACATTATATGTTAGATTGCCACAATTTAGAAGTGGGACCTCCAAACTGGTGGACTTCAGGTCCCAGAATTCCTCAACCAGCATGGCTGGCTGAGGTATTCTGGGAGTTGAAGTCCAGTCTTACAATTGCCAAGTTTGGAAATCTCTGATTTAAAACCATGGGATCATTATGTTAGAAGGAGGTCTTTTGGTCCAGGCCTCTGCAGAGGGATTTTCACATCATCTTGGACAAATGATTCTTCAATTATTATTTTTCTTGAAAAGTTCCAAAAATAAAATGCCCACAAGTTAAGGAAGTAGGCTATTCAATGCTTAGTAACCACTCACAGTTAAGATGTTTGCCCTTATTTCAAGTCTGAATCTCCCACAAAAAAGCTTCTACCCTCTGATCTTGTCTTCTATCAGAAAGTCTGGAGTTAGTAGCATGGGCAAAGTTACAGAAGCGAATTGAAAAACAAAAAACTCGCCTTTGCCCAAAATTGGAAATGTGGAAATAGAACGGAATGGAATGGAATGGAATGGAATAGAATAGAATAGAATAGAATAGAATAGAATAGAATAGAATAGAATAGAATAGAATAGAATAGAATAGAATAGAATAGAATTCTTTATTGGCCAAGTGTGATTAGACACAAGGAATTTGTCTTGGTGTAAATACTCTCAGTATACATAAAGAAGGGTACATTCATTAAGAATCAAGAATCATAACGTACAACACTTATAATCATAGGGTACAATCAACAATCAAATCATACTAAAAAACAGTCAAGTGGGAGGGGGTGGGTGATAAGGAGTGGTGAGAAGATGAACACTAATAGTAGTGTACACTTTGTAAATAGTTGAACAGTGTTGAGGGAATTATTTGTTTAGCAGAGTGATGGCTTTCAGGAAAAAACTGTCTTTGTGTCTACTTGTTCTGGTATGCAGTGCTCTATAGCGTCGTTTTGAGGAAAGGAGTTGAAACAGTTTATGTCCGGGATGTGAGGGGGTCTGTAAATATTTACACAGCCCTCGGGCAGTATACAGGTCCTCAATTGAAGGCAGGTGGGTAGTAATTGTTTTTTCTGCAGTCCTAATTATCCTCTGAAACTTGTGTCTGTCCTGTTGGGTTGCAGAACCAAACCAGACAGTTATAGGGGTGCAGATGATAGGCTCAATAATTCCTGTGTAGAACTGGATCAGCAGCTCCTTGGGCTTTCTGAGTTGGTGCAGAAAGAACATTCTTTGTTGTGCTTTTTTGATGACGTTTTGATGTTAGATGTTCATTTTAAGTCATGTGATATAGTAGAACCTAGAAATTTCAAGGTCTCTACTGTTGATACTCTGTTGTCTAGTATCGTAAGAGGTGGTAGTATAGGAGGATTTCTTCTAAAGTCTACCACCAAATATCCCCCCCCACCCCGACTTTATGATTATAAAGAAAACCTTGGAATGTGCAGAAACGGACAGGCTGTCAATGGAACTTAAAAACAAAGAGTCAGAGTACTATGAAATCTGGAATTTATGGTTGAAAGGTAGACATGAAATGATTAAAAGAAAGATAAATAAGAAGGTATGATGAAAACTGGCTTGTGAACATCCTACCTTGCTAAATACCAAGGCCCTTCTTCCTTTATTTCCTGGAATCGATGGTGGACCAGCCTTGTTTTTGGAGTACACTGTTTGCTCTTGGGATGGATTCTAGAGAGGTTCAGGAGTTCATGGCCACCATAGGATTATCCCAAATAAGAGATTCCTCTCCTTTATACCAGAGGTCTCCAAACTTGACAACTTTAAGACTTGTGGACTTCAACCATGGCTGCAGAATTCTGGGAGTTGAAGTCCACGAGTCTTAAGGTTGCCACGTTTGGGGATCCCTGCATTATAAGTGGCTCAGTCACTTATGCCCTGGGCGTCTCTCGTTTGGATTAGTGCAATGCACTCTACATGGGGCTACCCTTGAAGAGGATTCAGAAGCTACAGCTGGTTCAGAATGCAACAACAGTTCTGGAGGCCCCTAGGATGGCCCATGTAATAACACCATTATGTGAGATGCGCTTGTTGTTGTGCTTCCAGATCCAGTTCAAGGTGTGGTGATACCTTTAGAGCGCTTTAAGACGTGAGTCCAGGATATCTGAGGAGCCGTTTTGGTTCAATGGGATCAGCCCATCCCACTTATCCTGCTGCAAACCTGTTGGCCAATGAATTTTGGCTGGTGGGGTCTAGGAGAAAAGTCTTTTCTGTCACAGCCCCCTGGCTTTAAAATATTTTCTTGCTGGAGGTGAGATCTGTACCCACTAGTGGTGGGATTCAAATAATTTAACAACCGGTTCTCTGCCTTAATGACCGGCTGGGAGGGTGTGGGTGGGTGGGCGTGGCCAGGGGATGTGACAGCACTCAGCCTCCTGTAGCACTCTGCCAGTCAAAACGGGGCACGGGGGTTAATTACAAAATGAGGCCTTTGCTTTGTGACATCCAGATCCAGCGAGCAAGGGGTGTGAACTGCACAGAAAATACATTTTCGTTTGGTTATGAAGAAATATCCCCAAAGTCAGATGTACACTAAATGTAGACTGACTTTTAGCTACACATCTTCCCAGCAAACAGCAAATCTTGAAGCTCCAGGTGAAGAGGATTCATCTTAGGATGAGTAACCACAGGTTGCATGTTGGAGGTGCCTAAAAGAATGCTGGAAAACTCTGTATTTTAAAGAACCTTTGAGGGAGGGGTGCAGAATAGCCCTTCTCTGCCTGAGGTTGCACCAAACAAAAACACTTTTTGTGAAGCAACTTATCAACGCTGACAAGGTAAGCCACTAGTATTTGAAAATAAAGAGCAACTCCACTCCCTTCTAGTACTGATGGTGTTACCTAGTTTGGTAATGAAACATCTGCAAGAAAACTATCAAGCTCAGAGAGCACCAAGGACTCCACAGTTCAATCCTGAGCTATAAATATTCTCTTCTATTGATAAACACCTTTTGGTTAGAGGGACTCAGAGCCTGCGTTATATGAGACGTCTCCCAGTGGATTTCATTCTAAATTTTGATATGATTTCTGTAAATAAGGAATGTAGAATTATAATGGCCGAGTATTTGATCCTTCATACATCAAAAAATATGAAGCTAAGGGATAAAGAAATAAAAAACAGATCTGAAAAAAAGAAAAGGCTCAGGAAAGAAAAAGAGTGAAAGTGTAGGAAAGAAACAGGAAAAGAAGGAAAACTGAAAAAGAATGACTTCCAACTATCTTTGGTGCAGTTATAAGTAAAAAATTTTTTCCAACTCTTACTTTAAGAGCAACATTTGTCTACATTATTTCCATAATCCCATATCTAATCATCAAAGCCCAGATCAACTTTTAATTTCGGTTTCTCACAAAAAGTCTAGTAATGGTTCCTATCGCTTTAATCACTATTTGTTAAGGAAATCACAACTGATTTATTTAATTGCACCAAACTCTAAATAAAACAGGAATGGAAAATCCTAAGCTCTAGTGTAGACCCATGCTTCTCAACTTTGGTAACTTTTAGGTGCATGGACTTCAATTCCCAGAATTCCCCAGGTAGCATGAAGTCTGCCCATCTTAAACTGGCCAAGACTGAAAAACACGGATCCGCAGAGAGAGATTTTCCCATTCCTCTTATACTGGTTCCTACTTACTTAATGAGCAATCTTAATGCAAAATCCCCATTTCCAACTCACCTTACAGCAGGGTTTTGGGGCCTGGAAGGCCTCCTGCACCAACCTGGAAGCCAAAATGGGGCGCGCAGGGGGGCTCCTGGGAGGGGTGGGCAGGTGGGACCAGCCAGAGGCGGGATTGGTTTTCCGAACTTGGCAAAAAGTTAGCGACCAATTCGCCCACCACTCTGGTCTTCTGGAAGGACCTTAAATCCTGGCTCTGCTAGTTGGGCTGGGCCAACGAGCTACGCTAGGTTGGTGGTGATTGGTGCAATGAAAGAGAAGGTACTGCCCCACTCTGCATGAGATCTTGAGGGGTTTTTTGGCTTTTATGTTAAATGTTAACATAAATGTGGAATGTTAGATTGTTGTTATAATTATGTTATGGAATGTTAGATTGTTTTATGATTTTAAATTGTTTTATATATATATATATATATTTGTATTGTAAGCTGCTCAGAGTCACTTAGTGAGATGGGTGGCACATAAATTTAATAGTACATACATAAATAAAAAATCACGCATGAGCAGATGATAGCTGAT